AAGTCTCCTATTAAAAAATAAATTTTTAAGTTCCTTGCAAAGTTCATGTTAGTTTGTCTTGCTCGCTAAAATTTCGAATTGCCCAAATTTGAAAAATTAAAAAAAAAATGGTTCTTATTTAACTGTTTATTACAATATGCAAACACTGTTCAGGGCTGCCATATGAGCGCTTTATTATAATAAGGTGGCAATACTGTTATGCTATCTTCAGGTTAAATATTTAACAGCCTAATGAGCTGATAGGTAAACTTGGAAAGGCAGTTACGAGTAACGGGAAATTGAAAACGAAAAAGTTTATTTTGGAATGTAAAATTTGACGGGAGAGTAGGAGAATGTGTTATGTTTTTAAATATGCATCGAGAAAACCTTAGCATATCTAGCTGTCTCCAAATATTATTCCAAGCATTTGACATTTGAAACCCTTCAATATTGTTGGACAAACTGCACAGCATAGCGCCAATACCCTAGAGGGCATAGCCATTGCAGCGACTTATAGGGTAATGACAGAATAGCAACTATCCCTTTTCTAGCTTTCCTATGCCGAGTCGCATATGCACATGGCTTGATGTGCCGTTGCCATTTGCTAACCGCAAGAAAACGGCTGCGCTTTCTGCTTTTCTCACTTTTCTCTCAGCAAAGACACATAACTGATAATTTCATTCATATTCCACTCGAAGTCGTCGTCGTCGTCGTCGCAGTCGTCTTCGTAGACAACGATGTCGGTCTCTGAGTCACAGACGCAACGCTTCCCAGTTGTTGGCCAAGCTCTCTGGCCATAAACTTGATGGCATCGCATTCGCTGCGACCAGTCTGCATTTGGCTTTCTGGCAACGACGACGCACGCGGCTCGTCCAGTTGCGAATCTCGGGTTTTCCCTCGCTCCAAGCTAACGGTTGACGCGTCTGTGGGAAAGGCAAAGCGGCGAGCTGCCCGACTTTGTTTTGCACAATCTGTGAGGCCTTTGCCTCCTAATCAACTTTACTTCACTTTTACTTTATTTGACTGTTTTACAAAATTTCCATTGACAACCTTTAACACAGATTTCAGCTCAAAATTCTATTGTGAAAATCCAAAAACCACAAAAAAAAAACCAATTAAAGCCAAAAGAAAAAATAGAGTGCAAAAAAAAATTGGTGTTGTGCGCGATTTGAAAATTGGTTCATATGACTTTCCTGCTTGGGGGAAAAGGATTTCACTTTGAGTGCCAAATCACCGGCAATTGAAAACTAGTTCAAGGCTGCCTACCTGTTGCCTCCAATATCGCCAATCTATCGCCCGAGACACACTGTCAACATGGAGCTAACGTTGTCGCCAAAAGAAACGGTATTTACTGGCATTTCGTTATGCATACTTATGTCCCATCCCATCCTCTCTCTCTCTCTCTCTCTCTCTCTTTTAAATTATATATTACACAGATATCTTCAAGTGGCGACAACTTGATTTGCTTGTTTCTTTCGCTAATTACGAGCTGACAATTATTATTTGTTTTTATAGATGTTATTAATGTTATTGCGTACGGATTAGGATCGTGTTCATAATTTTTTGATTGTTTAAACAGCATTTAGCATAGCTTCTGTATTTAATTTGCGTCTATTCGGGCGTATAAAACTCTAAAACACATGTTTTTATTGTTATCTTTTAAAATACTCTCAAGGATTTCAAATATATGTAACTATAAGTTTTAGTTATCTTTTAAATACTCTCAAGGATTTCAAATATAACTCTAAATACTTAATATTTCAGTTCTATGTATAGGCAGTTTTTTTTTGTTACATGAAAACAAATTTACAGTATTCCAAATCCTTTTACAGGATTATTTGGAGTATCTGCTTTAATATCGAAATATATTCCATTCGTATCCTAATTAAATTGTCTTGAATATTCCATAAAAGTTAATCCAATTTTAAATAATTTATTCCGATTATATTCCTTATACTCTAAAAAAAAAAAACGTAATCATTTTTTAATTGTATGAATAATACTAACATCCGAAAAATACGCAATCCTCTTCATTCTCTTTACTATATTTTGTCTTCTTTTCACGTAATCAGTTTAATTAACTTTCTTTGTAATCGCATAAATGTTTTCTGGTTTGTTTTAACTAATTGCACTTACTAAAATCGCGTGCGTCTCGTGTCATGCGCTCATTAAAAAGAAAACAAATTTCATTATATCATTTCCATTAAGGGACTCATATAAACTGTGACAGAATTCTTGAAATTAAACAATTAAGAATATTTTAATTGAAAGTGCGCGTCTAGATAATGTTTTGCATTTAAATAATTAGGATTCTTTATATTCTTTAAAAAAAATGGAAAGAGAATTCTTGGAGAATTCTATATAATTATAAAGACAGCACTTTAAAGATGTTCAAAAGTATATAAACTTTCAAGGGACTCTTTACATATATTTACAAGAAATAAAATAATAATACTTTTTTAAAAGTATATTGACTTAAAAGCCTTCATTAAAATTAAAACTAATATTATTAATTTTTCAACTATATGCAAATTTTTAACCCTGAATCCATTTCAAATGGGTAAAAATGTTTAATGATGTTGTGAAAATGTATGTAAAATTCAGACGCAAGCAATTTCGACCACATAAATTATATAAATTCTTGATCAGCATCAATACCCGTGTCGATCTAGCCACGTTCGACTATCTGTCCGTCTTTCCATCGAACGCGTCAATCTCAGAATCTATAAGAGCTAGAGTATTGAGACTAGAGTCTATTGTCGTAGAACGCAAGGATCTCAGAACCTAAAGGAGATAGAGACTTGAAAGTTGGAATATGGGTTCTTCTAGTGCCTGCGCAGTGCGCGCTTCTTTCCGATCATCGATAACTTGCCCTATTTCCAAGCAATCGATAAAAATCGATATACAAACGTGAATTTGGACAAATCTGCGAGGCTTTAAAAGCTAGAGTTACCAAATTGGACATGTAGCTTCTTGAATAGTATAGACAGATAAAATATCTTTAATTTTAAAGCTATCGCCAACCCCCCGCCTCCTCTCCTTAGCTTTAAATCAAATGAATGATTCAATTGAAATTTCCCAACAAGTATCAAGTATCTTTCTTTTTTTTTGGCTAGAAGAAGGCTCAGGGTATCGCTTAGTCGGGCACTCCCGACTAGCGCACTCTTCTTTTCTTTTTTAGTTTTGCCAAATTTTAACTGTACCACAAATGATTTTTACCTAGAATCTTACTTTGGGGCCACAAAAATGACACTAATTGGCGGCAACCAAAAACAAAAACTGTGAAAGTTTTCACAACCTACTAAGACCAATTGTCGAGTATATATGTGTATATATATATATATATGTCTTCGATGTGCCAGTTATTTGTCGGAGACTATTTTGAACGGGCGTGTGACAAACGCAGCTTGTCGCTGTCAAGAGTTGAGCTCCTGCCTTCATCAACCGATGTCGGCAGCCGCTCTTTATCAGCCGCAGAGCAGCTCCCAGCAACCGATTCAAGTTATGTTTGCCATTTGCAGACAATAATTAAAATGTTTACGTGTAATTTGATGAGTGCAAGTATTTGATTTTTTGTACGTTAACTTCTATCTTTTATTTATGAGCCAAACACAATTTCAATTATAATTGCTGTTTGCGCCGATTTCTATGAAATGTCATTTGGTTTATGGTCGATGGCGTCACCCCAAACCCAGCCCCAATCCCAGCGAGGCGTAGCATGAACTCGTTTTTCATCACTGCACACAATAAGAAAAAAAAAAACAAAAGCATATTCATTTGGAAAATATTTATAAATAATGCTATTATGCTGCAGTCAAAAGTCAAAGACACGGCTTGGTTAATTAAACGAAATACAAGTCGAGCTCCTGATAAAGATCTGTTCGCTAATGCAATACATATTTTAATTGAGCTGCAGCTGGACAACGCCTGAAGAAGACGCCACCCAATCGTACATACACATAACGGCGACCACTTTCCACTCCCAGCTAGCGTTCCATAAATAAATAAGAAAATTAATGTTCAAATAAAAACAAAAAAAACTGGCTGCCTGGCTGCCCGTCACTCTGGTACAATTTTCACTATCACTTGGCGAACGCTCGCCGCGCAATCGCAATCGGGAAAAGCCAAATGCAGAGCGTGGCCCGACCTGGCCAGCAGGTTTTTCTTTCTTTTTTTTTTTTTTGTTTTTTTTTGGGCGCACATCCTTTGCTAGTCGGAAAAGCCTGTGAGCTATTTGTGAAAAACTGTCTCATGTTTGAGTAACAATTGTGAACCATTTGAAAGGTGTTTCGGTGCACTTGTAACATGTTGTTTTAAATTGACTGACAAGCGCCATTAATTACTGCATTTAAGTGTTGAAAAATGCATCGAAAAAAAAGTCGCTTCGAAAGTTGATTACCCTCCCATTAAATGTAAATCGAGTGGAGAACAGTTAAAACAAGAATATTTTACAACCAGCTGTGGGCTGTAATAGTTTCTATTTCTTAACTCTATTGCCAGGAAGACAATTTGGCGATACTCTCAATTATTTTGCAGTAATACTTAACTCTATCACCAGGAAGACAATTCGGCGATACTTTAAATTAAAAAAGGTTTCTTAGCGCAGAATTTATATACCCTCAATTATTTTGCAGTGTTTCTTAGCTCTATCACCAGGAAGACAATTCGGCGATACTTCAAATTAAAAAAAAAAGTATCTTAGCGCAGAACTTATATACTCTCAATTATTTTGCAGTATTTCTTAGCTCTATCACCAAGACAATTTGGCGATACTTTAAATTAAAAAAGGTTTCTTAGCGCAGATTTTATATTCTCTTAATTATGTTAGCGTGTTCCTAAGCTCTATCACCAGGAAGAGAATTTAGCGATACTTTAAATTAAAAAAAAAGTATCTTAGCGCAGAATTTATTTAAAAGACAAAAAATAAGTCATTACAATAAGAAACATTCCTAAATGTACTTTACACAACACAATCTCTTGTGCCCCACATTCTAAATGATGTCATTCTCAACCATTCTAAGGAGGTGCGTCCAAACACGATACCGGACCTCAAGGTGGATGCCACATTCCGCAAGCTGCCCAAGCAGGCCGTAAGCTTTGCGCTCTGGAAAATTGATGAGGATCACCTGGAGGCAGTGGCACGGCCACAATATGGCACCTTCTATGACAATTGCGCCTACATCATCTACGCATCCAATCTCGTCGGACACTATGCCAGCCACGAGACTATCGTATGTACACACAACCATATTTAATGTTCAATTAATAACCACATTTTTCATTGTAGACGCGGGAGCAGAAGCCGAATGTGCCGCTGGAGCGGTATATACACTATTGGCTGGGCAGTAATGTCACCGAACAGAATCGCTCGAATGTGGTGCACAAAATTCAGGAGCTCGACTCGTATCTGGGCAATGTGTCGTCCATTTATCGCGAAGCACAGAATCATGAGAGCGCACGCTTCTTGTCCTACTTCAAAAATGGCTACGAGTGAGTATTGTCCGTGATTTGGTATACGGATCGAACCGAAGTCTTCTCTTTTGCTTCGGTTTGAAATTAGCTTTGGCTTGCCCACATTCTCATCCCAATCCTTGTTACATTTCAGTGTGCTCTCCGGCGCTTTGATCAATTCAACGCAAAAGACACGTCTCTTCCAGTTGTACGGCCGCAAATGGTTGCGGGCCGTTGAGCTGTCCAACATAGACTGGACGCACTTCAATTCGGACTACATCATGGTACTGCTAATGGATGCCGTGAAATTTGTGTGGATTGGACGCTCCAGTGCGGCAATTGAGCGGCGCAGCGCACTGGCCTGGGTGCAGCGGCAGCGCAAGGACGGCCAGCTGTGCATTGTGGACGATGGCTATGAGCAGTCCATGAGCGCCGAGCAGAAGGAGCTGTGGAACACCGTATTGCCGCTGCAGCAGCGCATGGTCTGCCAGGCACGCCAGCAGGGCAGCGATTACGAGTGCAGCAACAAGGCCGATGCCAATGGCAACAAATTTCGCATCTACAAATGCAATCAACGTGGACGTCTCCACTTGGACCAGCTGGACGTTGGCATGCCCACCAAGGATGATCTGAGCGATGCGCATGGTGTTTATTTGCTGGACAATTTCGGACAGAGCATTTGGTTGTGGGTGGGCGCACAGGCAACGCAAGCGGATGCCCTAACGGCCATGGGCAATGGACGCGCCTTTGTCAAGAAGAAGAAATATCCGAACAGCACGCTGGTGGTGCGAGTGCTGGAGGGCCGGGAGCCCGTTGAGTTTAAGCGTCTGTTCGGCAATTGGCTGACCATCTGGCAGGATAATACACGCGGCCACAAGCCCGTCTCCACCAAGTTAGGCAAATTGGATGCAGTTCTGCTGGGCGAACGCCCCAAAATGGCCGCCGATACGCAACTGGTGGACGATGGACGTGGCGAACGCATTCTGTATCGCATATTCGGCGATCAACTGGAGGAGCTGCCAGCCGCAAAAGCTGTGGTGTTCACCACCAACGCCTCCTATGTGGTCAAGTACACGGTGCAGGTGAGTGCACAAAAAGTGTTGGCCAATTTTGTGGTTTATTCAGCACATTTGAATGGTTTTTATTTTGCATTCAGTGGGTTGGCCAAGAAGTTGTGCTCTTTGGTAATTTTAAGTGGGTTTAACGTGCATTAACTTGGTGGGTTTTCGTTAATTTGCCAAAAGTCCATACATCACATATATAGCATATGATCTATGCATATATTTTGCGTTAGGATCGTTTCACAGATTGACCGCGCCAATTTCATAGCCAAAGACCTGCTTTTCTATTTACTTTCCCTACTTTTCTTTAGTTTTATTAAATGCAACACGCCCTTCTATGCGATTTTCATAGCCTCGTGTGATAAATAAATGATTATTATATATTTTTAGTAATATTATAGAAGTCTATTGCAGCATAAAACTCATTCCTCACTCACTCTACTTCTATCGCCTTTCTATGCGATTTTCATAAACTCAAGTAAGGTCAACAGATTAAAATCGAATTTTAGTGATATTTTTAAGAGCTTGCGTGGGTATGCATTTTGTGTCTCAATTTGCATATAAGTAAATGTGAAATGTAAAATGTTGAAGCAATTTTAGAGCTAAGCACGTGGAATCTTTTAGTCGAGCTCACTTTTGTTTACCATTGTATTGTAATAGATTATTGTGACAGCGAACAATTGTGAGAAAACTCGTTGCATATTATTAAGAAAATATTAATAAATATTTTGATCGTACACAGTGCGCGACCGTTGTGCCCGCTGATCTGGCCTCCGTGGGCATTAAGAGCATCATCTACCAGTGGAATGGCTCAGAGGCGTCTGCCGAAACAATAGCGAAGGCCGACAGCTTTGCCATGACCAGCTTCGAGACACTGAAGGAGCCCGGCATGTTTGTGCAGCTTTATGAGTTCGATGAGACGCCGCATTTCTTGCAGCTTTTCGAGGGCAAACTAATCATCATGCGTGGGCAGCGCAGCGAGCTGTTGCACTCCAATAACAATATGAACTGGGACTTCAAGACGAACATCATGCTGGAGACATTTCTGCTGAAGATCTATGGCGATGCCAGCTACAATGCCAAGGCAGTGGAGGAGCATCCGCTCTCATCGATTAGCTCCAAGGATTGCTATGCCATCAAGACGAATCATGTATGGGTCTGGTGTGGCCAGAGCAGCACGGGCGATGCACGCGAAATGGCCAAGGCAGTCGGCGCCCTGCTGGGCGAGAGCTCACTGGTGCTGGAGGGCAAGGAGAGCAAGGAGTTCTGGCAGTCGGTCGCCATGTATTTCAATCAGACGCTGGTCATCAATGGTCAGTCGTGCGCCAGCAGCACAACGAGCAGCAGCAGCAGCGGCGCCGGCAGCATGTGCAACGGCAGCAGCAACGGCGTCGGCGGCAACATCTCGCCCACATTGAGCAACAATTGTTATCTGAACACCACTGTGCCCATCAAGCCGCGTCCGCCAGTGCAGCTCTTTTTGGTCTGGTGGGAGAAGACCCATTTGCGTTGCGAGGAAATACTTGGCTTTGAGCAACAGGATCTCACCGCAGATTGCACCTACATTCTCGATACGGGCACCTTGGCATACATCTGGCTGGGCGCACAGGCGCGCATCCAGGAGCGTGAACGATACACATCCATTGCGCAGAGCTATGTGCAGAATGCACCATTCGGACGACGCTCAGCTACGGCTTTAGCCATAGTGCGGCAGCATGCGGAGCCCAATGTGTTCAAGGGCTTCTTTGAGACATGGGACAATGAGCGTGGCAAGGTAACGGCTTAATCTTTAATATAATAATCCAATTATATGCTAATTAAAATTTGTTCTTTCTTCTGCAGAATTTCCTCACCTACGAGCAGATGCGCCAGGAATTGGGCACCGTAGCGCCCAGCAACGGTATAAAAGAGGGTTCCGCTTTATTGCTTAACAACAACCAAAAGGATTTCGATGGACACAAAAAGTATCCACTGGCGGTGCTGGTGCAGGAAATGGATATGCTGCCACCCGAAATCAATCCGCTGAGGCGTGAGGTTAGTCTGGCCAACAAAACACCATATGCTCCAATTGTAATATTAATAATTATATGCTCTGCATTTTTCAGGTACACCTAACGCATGATGATTTTGTTTCCGTTTTTAAAATGTCCTTTTATGAATTCGATGAGCTGCCCAAATGGAAAAAGCAGGAACTTAAGAAGCTCTATAAATTATTTTAAGCGAAACATTGTGAAATCGTAGTAGCACACACCCTGTATATAGTAAACGATAATTGGCTTTTTTTTACTCATCTGGAATAGTAATAAAGCAGTTTAAGGTATATTATATTACCCTTCGTAGATTATATTTAAGCACCGTCTTTTATGAATTAATACCAATTATATTCTATGAAATATATCGTAAATAGCTGCTGGACTTATCATGGACGTTTATTGTGCTTCAGGTTGTAGTTTCCACCTCCGAAGAATCGGGTTCATCGTCGCCATCGGAACCTATTTGTGGAGTGTACTTTTATTGACTTGTTTCGACTTAAACTTACTTCAGAGCACTACGTACTGGGAAATATCAAACCCAGTATAAAATCAAATATGCCGCCCAATAGATCCCAAAACATTTTCTGTTCGTTGTGCCTAACGTTCTGTAACTAAATGACAGCAATTGCAATTTTGGACTATTCGGACTTGGCACGCAAGTCACCCATTTAATGAGCCATAACCAAAACGCAAAAGTTAATTCTTATCAATCTTGGGCCTACAAATTATACTGACCGATGTGCATGAACTGGATCAATCGCTGGCTTATTGAAAAGCTTTTAAAACTAAAATTCAAATTCAAAACAATTTTATTAGCAAATTGCACTCATGTTACGCAATTTTAATTATAATATTCTTCATCATCGTATTCGCCAAAGTATTCCCCATCAGCTTTTAAAATGAAAGAGACAGAGTTAATTAGTTATCGATTAATAGCTAATTTATGACTTACTGATATCCGAGAAAAACAAATCGTTAAAGAATCCCAAAAATATTTCCACCAAAGCGCAGCAATCCATTTCTACAGCTTATTTAAATACTTTCCGGACTTTTCCTGGGTTTTTATAGCTTGAATTTTGAAAATTAATTTTTTTTATTTTTGCAGTAATTAAATTTATGTTTTTTTTTTATTTTCGAATTAAACTTTATTTATCGTAATCGTCAACCGAGCCGTCGTCGTCCTCAGCTATAGAAAGACAGAGTTATATTCTGTTGATTGGATTTGCGGTTTTCTTCAACTTACAACCAAACAACACTTCGCTTATAAATTCTAATATAATGCCAATAATTTCACAATCGTCCATGTTCTTCTTTGCTCTATAAACGTTTACTAAAATAAAACCGCAAACGTTTTGGCTTCATATAAATAAGCAAAATCTGATATTTTTGCGTTCAACCTTGAAAAATATACGCAATTAATGTGCAATATTAATTTAATTTCGTACAATAACGTAAAAAATTCAATGTTTAATAATGCATTACAATAATTGCCCTTGGTCAATTCTTAAAATCTAATTTTATTGACTTTTTTCTGTTGTGCCTATTACCAAACTTTTGTAAAAAAATTTGTACAATTGTCCTAATATACGTCATAGCCATACATGGGCGCCTCCATGAACGCCTTTTGCTGATCCGTTGAATTGCGGCGTATTCGGCGTCCAATGGGCTCCAGATCCGCATAGCACTTGGGAAAGACGCGCTCGACCGCAGCCACGGCTTGCTCGTGGGTTATGTTGCGCACAGCTAGCACCGAGGCCAATGCTTTGGATTTGACACAGTTCTGCGGGATTTAAATAAATTATCATAAGCAATATAAATGATTTTTCGATGCGTTTAATCAATTTTGCCCACCTGATGCGCCTCCTTGATGTTGAGTGGCGATGCATCGCCTTGCATCATGGCGCTCAAAAAGGAGCAATGCGCCAGATTGGCGGCACGTATTTCTGTGCACGCCAAATGATCCACATTACGGAAGTCCAAGTCGTTGTTGCAATAGTCAAACATGTGAATCATTTCGTGTGTCAGCACGCCATGCACCATGCTCCTATTTTTGGCCATATTCTGACAGACAACAATCTGATTAAGCAATGGATCGTAGCCGCCTGTAACGCTGGGATCGCACACCTCACAGGAGATGTGTCGCCGCAGATCTATTGGGCAGCCGGAGCTGCGCAGTGCGCCCATCATTAGCTTAACGAGCGGACCATTCTTAACGCACCAATACACGTTCTGTTCGCACTTGTAGCGATCGATGCTCTCCTGGCCCTCAAGACCGAACAGTACGCGTGTCCATTTAGTCTTGTAGGCTTCACCCCGACGCTCCGGATAGAGATCATAACCCCATTCCTTGCGTTCATTGTTGGCTGGCGCTGAGTCTTTGCTTGCTTGTGTGGTGTTTGTGTCCTCCAAGGGTTTGGCATCCGGCAGCACCACAGCTGGAGACACCGACTCCGTTGTCGTTGCTGCCTTGGCCCATACTTGAGTCAGGAAATCCATAATATCACTTGTTTTGCTTTTGTCCCTAAGTTAAGGCAGAAAGTTAAATAACAAACCGGCAGCTGATTTGCCAGAGCTGCCACTGTGTTGAAAAGTTTGTTGCATTTAGTCCGCACACACGATACGACTTGAGCATGCCACCTGTGGTACAAATGTACCAAAACTGGTATTTTGATAATTACATGGTACACCAGATTTAATTTTTATAAAATATTAATTTGTTCTCATTAGTATAATACTTAAAAGTAGCAATTGTGGACAAATGGTTCACAAGCGTAACATCATATTTATTGATTGCAGTATTTTCCTTCAAAGCGCTCATTAAAAATTTGGTATTTGGTTGGTAGTGATATACGTCACACTTATCCGCAGACCGGCATTTACAAGTGTAAAATTTCCACGTAATTCATTGGTAGTGCGCGGACTGAGTTTTTAATATGCATCAAACCAATCTACAGTTAATATTACTAGCAATATTAACATATACCTTAAACGCAGTTCAATGCGGAGAGGTGCCACGTCCACGCGGCGTTTCACTAGCAAAGGCGGCCCTGTATCAGCCACAGGCGGATGGCAAATGGAGCTGCCTGGATGGAAGCAAAACGATACCATTTACTCAGATAAATGATGATTACTGTGATTGCGCCGATGGCAGCGATGAGCCGGGCACTTCAGCCTGCCCTCTGGCGCAGTTCCACTGCACCAACAAAGGTCATCAGCCCGTGGAAATACCCAGTTCCCTGGTGCAGGATGGCATCTGCGATTGTTGTGATGGCAGCGATGAGCTGCCCGCGGTGGGCTGTGCCAACACCTGCATCGAGCTGGGCGCCGCTGCGGCCATCAAACGTCGCAACGAAGCGGAACTGCACAAGCGGGGTGCCGAGAAACGGCAGGAGATGATAACGCGCGGCAAGCAAATGAAAGCGGATCGTTCCGCGCGTCGCTCCGAGCTGAATGCTCGCATCAAGGAACAAGAGTCTTTGAAGGTCGAGAAGGAGCAGCTCAAGCACAACGCTGAAGCTCTGGAAACCGAAGCGGTCGAGGCATTCAAGGAGCAACAACGAGAACTGGATGCAGAGACGGCGCAGGCGGAACAGGAGCCACAGCAAATGCGCGTCGAGGCCTCCCTGAGCTTTGTGCGCTACGATACCAACAAGGATGGCTTCGTGGAGGTAACCGAGCTGATGGTGGACATGAACCTGGATCGCGATCGCAACGGCGTTGTGACCGTGGAGGAGGCCAGATACTTCCTAGATGAACGTGATCGAGTGGATTTGGATGCCTTCGTTACCTTAGCTTGGCCGCGAATTAAGCCACTGAAAATGCTAGCTGATGGTTTGTTCCAGCCGCCACAGGCGCCCGTTGAAGAGGAGGAGCTGCCTCAGGCGGCGGACGTGGAGGGCGCTGAACTGCACAACCCAGAGCCGAGTGAGGGTAAGCCACATTAGCAATTTATCCAATTTTGTGACTAATAATTTTCTTGCAGAGCAAGCGGACTTGGAAACTGCTGCTGCCGGCGAAGAAGAAGAGGAGGGCGAAGATGATGAGGATCAGTACGACGACGAAGAGCCCGATGTGGGCGTTGGTGAAGCAACACCCGAAGTTGAAACAACTACAGCGGCACCGGCCTACGATCCGGAGACACAGCGTCTGATTGAGCAGGCCAACGAGGCGCGCAATGCTTACGAGGAGGTGGCACGTCAAATACGCGAAATCGAACACGAAGTCAAGGAGATTGACGAGCAGGAGGGCAAGGACTATGGCCCGCACGAGGAGTGGGCGGTGCTGGATGGCGAGTGCTATACGTATGAGGATCGAGAATATGTCTACACGCTGTGCCCCTTCGATCGTGTGTCGCAAAAGCCACGCAACGGCGGCGCCGAGACCACATTGGGCCGTTGGGAGCAATGGATTGGCGAAGGTGCCAGCAAATATAGCCGGCAAAAGTATGCGCAAGGCGCTGCCTGCTGGAATGGACCGCAACGTTCGGCCATAATCAATATCAAATGCGCAATGGAGCCACGTATCACAGCGGTCAGCGAGCCGAATCGCTGTGAATACTTTTACGAATTTGAGACGCCCGCTGCCTGTGATAGCGATGCCTACACTGCCTCCGCACAGAGCATGCACGATGAGCTTTAAAACTACCATAGCTACAAATTGATTGGGAGTAAACAGAGAGTTTTGCAATTTTCGGAATGTATTCTAGTTTTAAAAAGAGATAGAGAAGGAAGTTTTTGCAGAATGTAACGTGATTTGCTGATCATTCCCCATAGGTGGCGCTCATTTTGCGAATCAGTCGTAGACAAATATTATTCAGCATTTGCATTTAAGCCAAGTAAAAAGTTTCATTTTTTAAATATACATATATACTACATTCGTATTCGTACAAAAGCGTTTCTATGGCTCTGTAACGGCCAGTTTTATGTCCTCCAGATAACCATCCACCTGATGCTCAAGTGCCAGTATATGGCCCGTGTTGCAATCTTCAGCGCCAACGAATGTCAAAATCACCGGCAATTTGTTCATTTGGACCACCTGCAGGAGTCGGGTGAGAGGGAGAAAGTTGGTGAGTAGTCGAACTATCTGATTACATGTGGCATTGGTTGCGTGACGAGCACTCACGATCGTGCGTGTTCCATAAAAGACACGCACCCATCTCTAGTACACACACCCACCTGATAGTTGGAATACATTGATATAATTGTTTTATTGCGTCCCAGGCCCAGTTTGCTGGCCTGATCGCAGGCTGTGGTAAATGTGGGTATGAACGATGGCATTAATGCAAAATCCACATTCTTCTCCTGACTGTGGCTAACTCGCAGCAGCGGCACGCCATCTCGGTCCGTTATCTGTATGACGTAGAGGCCGCTGACCCTGCAAGAAAATGCAATTCGTAATTAGCAGGGTGTGTGGGTGCCAGTTTAATAACTGCTGCTAAAACGACACTTACTTCTGCAACAGACCGTTGAAATACTTTTTTATGTCGTCAGACATTTCACTGGTAACAATAAAATAATATATATTATAAAAATTCCAATATTGTTTTGTTCTTAGCAAAAACCAAAACAAACATGAAAAAATTGCCTAAATTTGCTAAAGCGCCTACAAAAATACCAAATTAAATACCAAGCAAAACGGCAATGCACGAGTGACAACTAAGTCCGTTATTTGGTATGACGTTAAGGTCACTGAACTTGCAATATAATTTGTAATTATAACGGAAGGGTGCCAACATTACAACTAACGAATGAAATTAAAATGACACTAATATATGCAGCAGGTCGATTAAATATTAATTATATCATTAGGCATTGGAATAATTAAATTCTAATAATACCAATAGTCTTAGGCAGCAAAATCAAAACAAATAAAAAAATGCCTAAATTTGACCCAAGCCAAAAATACCAAATTAAAGGCCAGACAAACTGGCAATGTACGTGTTTTGTTTAATATTTAAAGGCTAAAGAAGTGGCTTAAATAATAGATAAAATAATATTAAGCGACAACTAAAACACTCTTTTAGGGTATCCAATATGATGGCTGCCAGTGCAACTAATGCCAACAAGGATAAGTCCGTTCTGGACGCAGCTGAAGCTGATGACGACTACACCTCGGCCATGTCGCACCTGACGATTGGCGTACAGATCCAGGAGCTATCGAAACGTCTGCAAAACACCACCGAAGAGCTGCATCAGCAAGTGCGCGACAAGCATGGTGCACTGCTGCAGCAGGCAACACACGCCGGCCGCTTTGATGCCGCACTCAATTCGCTGGCCGAGGATGTGCAACGCGTGCGCGCCACAGGACATCGCCTGAAGTCCCAGGTGGACACCCAATACCAGTTGGTGGAGAATCAAACCCAAGTGCTGGGTCGACTCCATGAGGTGTCACATCTGCTGCGCTCGGCAGGCACATTGCTCACGTTAACGGCCAAGCTAAAGAATACCAAAGATGTGCTGCGACAGGCGGAGCTGCATTTTGAGCTAGGTCAGCTGATAGCAGACAAGGAGCTGAAGGACATCGAGTTTATACAGGAGGAACGCGCCTATGTGTTAAGTTCTAGGCAAAAAATACGCAACTTAACGCAGATGCAGTTGGTCACGGGGCTGCAGGAGCGCAACCAGACGCAGGTGGTCAACGCGCTAAAGGTGAGTGACTGCTCAACACGGTCTCCAGCCTCAAAGTAAACAATCTTATTTAGATCTTTATGAACTTTAACACGCTGGAGAAATCACTGGAAAATCTGCTGGCCACATTCATAGCTGACATGGAGCAATCGCTCAAGGAATGCTTTGCCGGCACCGACATATCCGTCCTCAACAAGGCCGATGCCATGCGCTCGCCCACGCATGGTGGCAACGGCGCAGCCAAGTCTGGGGCGGCACGTGGCCCTGGTAAGGCGCCACAATTGACAACGACCCAAAATTTTCGCGCCAAATTTTGGAAATCGCTGCACTGGCTGCTCTACGACGAGCTCTACGAGAGCTGCACACAAATCAAGCTGCTGAAAACGGCGCTGGAGCAAATCAATCAATTTGGCTACACCAGCGAGTCATCGGATCAGTGCATTCCACAGCGCTTCTGGCAGCGTGTGCAGCAGCTGCTGCGTAAATCCTTTGACGAGTGCTCACAGCATGTCAACCAAACGCTCCAGGAGGGCCTATCCAAGCTGCTGACTTCGGCGCGAGGGCTGGAACAGCGGCTGAACAATGAATTCCAATTCGACAACGAACTCTTTGCGCCGCTCGAAGTCGGCTATGTGAGCAAGTGTGCTGCCAATCTGAAGGCCTGCTTGGCGGGCGTAGATTTGCCCGGCAATGAAACTGTGGACAATTTCATACGTGTCGCATCGACGGAGCTGAGCGCAGCGCTTATTGACAGCCGGCTCAGCAATGCGATTGCAAATGTGTTTATTGCCTGCGGCAAGGAGCTGTGCACCAAGCTGGAGGCACAAATTAAGCTGGGCGCCGACTCCAAGCAGGTCGTCGATTTGCCCAATTTGCAGCAGCAGCAGAACACGCAACTGGCGAATGTGCTGTACTATTACAAGGATTCAGTGCGTCGCATGTTGAATGATCTGCAGCTGCAATTCGATAAAACGCCGGGCGCAGCACGTGCGAACATAGCGCGCTCCTTGGAGCAGGCGGATCTTTTAATTGGAAGCATATTGCAGCAGATTATGGAATCGATTATCACAGCTATTAGCATTATTATACTAAGCATGCACCGTGAGCCGGGTCTCAATACGGACAGACTGGCCACAACCGGTCCATCAATGTACATGAAGGAGCTGCAGGTGCGTATAATGTGTTTATCCCTTGCCACCAGTAACTATACAAAAGCATGATTATTCTTACAGGAGTTTGTCAGCCGCTCCTGGTCGCACCATATCGAACTGTTTGATGATAAGGAGATGACCAGTAAATGTGGCCAGGAGCTGGCCAAGCGCTGCATTGAGCTCTTTATACACAACCTATGCATTTTGCGTCCCTTGAGCAGCGCTGGCAGACATCGCCTGAAACAGGATTGCCTGCACATGGAGCAGGCACTGAAACCACTTTGTCCCAATTTCGCTGAGCTGGGCAAACCGTCGCGTTTGCTGCGCGCCATGTCGCTGCTGATTGTGCAGAGTCCCGAGGAGCTGGTGAAGCAAACCGTTGGTGCGGATTCCCTTGTGCCCAGCTATATAGTTCTGCTGCTCCTGTTCGGACATGCTGGCGCCGAGCTGCAATCACCGCACACCACTGCAAATTGGTCAAATGAGCGTTTGATCGAATGGCTGGATGGACATACAGCAGAGCGCGAGAAATTGGAGCTGATATCCGGGGCACTGCAAAGATATCGTGACAATGCCAGGCGCAAAAATATTCAACAATACGATGAAATATATCCCATGATGGTGGATTACTTTGAGCTAGCCTTAAAGGCAATCTCTTAATTTAATCAGCAATTTGTAACCGCAATAATTTTTAAATAAATTATATTACGTGACTAGCTATTCGTTACTCGATAACAATCGCATAAATCGTTACCGATAACTTCATACGCCAATCGACAGCACGCTCACTAGAAGTGACATCACTGACTAGACACACCATTTTGTTTGAGAGAAAAAATCGTGGAAAACGTTTTGCTGTGTTAAACTGACTGTAAAAGTAATTATTAGTAATAAAATAACTGTTAAGCTACAACAATGGACAACATTGAGCGTCTTTATAAATGCTACGAGATATTATCCGAAGCGGGAGATAAAATAACTGAGGTAAGCGCCATTAAAAAGACGCGTCAAAACGAACGGTAGTTGACATATACATATGTGTGAGTGCGTGCATGTGTGAACACAAGTACATGAGCCTGCAAATTGGCATCCGCGCCGGCGCTAGTTGAAAAAACAGTTATTAAATCTATAAAATGTTGCCTTTTTAATATTTTTAGCATGTTGCGGAATACAAAGAGATATTACAGGCCGTAAAAGGCACATCGAAGGAGAAGCGTTTGGCATCGCAATTTATTGGCAACTTTTTTAAACACTTTCCGGAACTGTCAGATACCGCAATTGATGCACAGTTCGATTTATGCGAAGATGATGATACACAGGTGCGTCAGTCAAATAAAAGTTAACTTAAATACCCTTCCCTGCATACATATATTGCCATTGAGCGATTGTGTCTATGGGAGCTATATGATATAATAGTACTCCAGTCCCGGTTCCCTCCAAAAACAAAAATTGAAAGAATTACAAAATTATAACACCCTGAGATAATTGGAAAAATTGTAATTATATATTTTCATGCCCACTTTCAGATACGCCGCCAAGCCATCAAAGATTTGCCCAAGCTATGCCAGGGCAATGCCGAAGCTACCGTCCGCGTGGGCGACACACTGGCCCAGCTACTAATTCTGGACGACGCAACCGAGTTACAGCAAGTGAACAACTCGTTGCTCAGCATCATTAAATTGGACACGAAGAGCGCCATAGCTGGTTTGTTTCAGCAGATAACCACGGGCGACGAGCCAACGCGTGAGCGTTGCTTTAAGTTCATTGCAACCAAACTGTTGACAATGGGTCCGAATGTCATAACCAAGGAAATTGAGGATTATATTGTGGAGGAGGTCAAGAAGGCATTGCAGGACGTGACAGCCGATGAATTTCATCTATGTATGACGATATTGGGCGCGACCAAGCTGGGCAACACAATTACCGGCCATGCCGAATTGGTCAAGTTGGCAACGGAACAGGCTGAGCTAAATACCGTCGATACGGATACCATAGCTGTTGACGATGAGGTTGTGGAACGTTTCATACAATGTGCCACGGCAGCAGCACCTTACTTTTCGGTAAGCAAACAACCTGCAGTAGATAAAATTGAATCCTATCACTTTAAATTGTAGAAAACCATTAAATCAACACAATTCGTGGCTTATGTTTGCGATAAACTGTTGCCAATAAACACATGGAATTTGATTGCCACCGCAATCTCACAGGATCAGATACAGTTGCGTTTGCTTAAAGTATTCGCCGAGATGATTACCAACACGGATAAACTAGAAAATGCCAACGAACGCATTAATGCCGTGTACAATGTGCTATTGGTGGGTTTTTATGGTTTGGATTTATTTGAAAGTGTGATTAATGTTTAATCCTTTTTTACAGGAATATATGCCCTTGCCAAAGCTGAGCGAGGAGGATACGGCAGATACGCCACCCTCATTTCAATTCTCGCATGCTGAATGCTTGCTTTATGCATTGCACACGCTGGGCAAGAAGCATCCAGGCAATTTAATGTTTGTTGAGGATGCCGAAAAACTAAAAGACTTCCGTGCTAGATTGCAATATCTAGCGCGCGGTACACAGGGGTAAGTTCCATATGCATTAAGCCATACAAGATATTCCCTAACTTATTTTATTTTGTAGTTACATTAAGAAACTGGAGGAGGCTCTTAAAGGCAAGTCAGTCGAGGAGCTGAAAACCGAGGAGAATCAATTGAAGCAAACGGCTTTGAAGACAACATCAAACATAAATATTCTGATACGTGATCTATTTCATTCACCGCCCATATTCAAACATGACATTGTGCTCTCCTGGGTTGTGCCCAAAAATGTATGCATTATCATAAATATCTTGATTATCACATTTAGATGTTAAATTACTTTGCAGAGCAAGCTTGGCAAACGCCATGCGCCCATCACATTTGGCGACAAGGGCGCCGCCAATGGAAATCAGGAGCAAGAGGTACAGGATAAGAAACCGCGGCCATCCAATGAACAGAAATTCTACTCGCCGCCCTCGGGCAAGTACTCGGGAAAGGTAAATTCCAATTATGGCAACAACAATCGCGCGCGGCAACGGGGTGGTGGCGGCGGCGGCGGCGGCGGTGGAGGCTTTAGGAATCGACGATACAACAACAGATATTAGATGCAGCCCAGCACACTATTTTCACATCCTAGTCGTTAAACAACATGAAACAACATAAAAGCAAAAAAAAAAAAAAGAAAGAAAGATAACGAGAGATTATGAAAATTCTCTAAAAACGTCCCGCGTATAATAAACCACTTGCAAAACTGACACCAATCCTGGCTATAGACGGAACAGTCTGCTCCATTCGCACACAAACGGGTGAGTATCGAGTGAGCTTTCATTGTAATTGTCTACCTTTGATATATTTCAGAGCCTGCAACTCAGCATCAAATTAAATGCAGTTCTTTTAACAATTCCCTTTAATTTGCTTATTTTTGAAACACACAACATGTTTGCAAATTTACGCGTGATATTTTAAAACAACGCCACGCTCACTCACGTCTCACACAGTTTTATTTTGTCTTGGCTGTGCACGTTGTTTTATCATATCAGGCATTATTTATCAACTATCCAAATGCCTAGCTGTAATAATATAAAATAGTTTGTAAACAATTTGCAATATCTTCTGCTAATCATAAATAATCAACTCCAGTTACAAAAGTAAACAACAAATGAAGCCCCCCCACTCCATGTATGAAAGATATGCAATTCTCGTATTAACTGTTTTTGAGGCACAAGATTTACAAACATGTACAAAAGAGTTTGTCAAATCCTTTAATTCACAAGCATAAATAATTATTATTCTTTTTTGGTTTACATATATGCCTCACAATTGTACAACGTAGCAACAGCAACAGAAACAAGAAAAAATTATGCGAACATTAAATTTTGAATTTCAATAAACCGAAAAATACAACAAATTGGTTTCGATAGAAACTAAAAAGTTATAGTTTTGTTTGCCTGAGGTTTTGACAGAATATGGGTTAATGTATTTTGATGAAACTTTGTAAGAGAATTGTGAGTTTTATATTGTTCCGTTTCGTTTCAGTTTGATGCCGAAATATAAATGTAGTTTCGATATATAATATATTTAATATAGCCCCAGTACAAACAAATTTTTAGAAATTGCAATCTCCGATTGGTTTTATATTTCGAAACTAGTAAACGAGGCACTTTGTGTGTGTTTATTTATTTATTAGCAATTATAAATATATGTGTATATGTGTGTGTGTGTATTGTAAGCCTTTTTAAACATTAACACAATTTACTTCAGCTTAAAAGATAGTACATTGTATATTGCGTTCGAATCACGCTAGGTTAACCCTAAAACGATGCACACACCTAGATGCTTGGCGGCGGCTGATTGCCCGGCTCCTGGCAATCGGGTGGATTGGTGCCTCCCGGCTGCCGCTGCTGCGCACCCACAAGATGGGTGGCGAAGTTCTGGAACAATTGCAACATATCATTGGGCAAGGGCGGCCCTTGAGCCGATGCAGTACCCGAGCCGGCTGCAGCAGCTCCTGGTTGACCGATGTTTGAAAACAATTGTCCAATAGCGCTCATCACCATCGGATTGTGTGTCATCGATTGCAATTGCTCCAGATCGATCTCGGCGCTGCTGAACAAATTGCGCACTGTGGGATTGGACAGCATGGCGTTGAGACCATCGCTCAGATGTGACAGCTGGGGCGGCTGATTGCGTGCATTGCGCACCACCTCCAGATTGTTCCGATAGTCGGCGTTATCCGGCTCCAGTTCAATGGCCTTGGCATAGGCGTGCTCCGCCTCATTGAATTTGCCCAGATTGGAATAGGCGACGCCCAAGCGGCAATATGCCTTGCTATAGTTGACGTTATAAAGCAGCGCCGATTTGCAGTCGGTGACGGCGCGTTCGTTGTCGCCCAGACGGATATGGGCCGCGGCACGGTTGCAATAGAATATCGGATTTTTCGGGTCAAAGGTGATGGCGCGATTGTATTGCAATAGCGCCTCATTGTATTTGCCATCCTTCATCAGGCGATTGCCCTCGTTTTTGATGGATTCTGCCAAGGCCAGCGATTCGGGATTACGTTCAATGTACAGCGACTGGAAGAGCTCAAACATGTCAATGTTCTTTGTATTGACGGCAACCGGGCCACCGCCGCTGCTGCCGGCTGCAGCTGCATCTCCGCCCGGCGCTGTGCCGGTGCCGTCGCCCGGTGCCGAACTGCCAGCGGCAGATGCTGTTGTACTCTGTGTGGTAGCCGTCAGCTCTTCCGGCTCGTCTTCGCCCACATCGAACGCGGCCTGTAGACATTGTATGGCCACCTCAATGCTCTCGCTCTGATCCGGCGACATGACATCGACTTGCTTCTTCAAGTAGTCGATGAAGGAGCGCACAAAGCTTTGCTGCACTGCGTCCGGCATTTTTATATATATTTTTTTTTGATTATTTACTTTGTTCTATCCCTATGGAAATTCACTTATGTGGCTTATTGAGCTCCTCTGCTACACACAATGAAAATCTCTGAACATGCGACCGATTTATAGAGGCGAGCCAAATCTCTAGGGTTGCTCCGTTAACGCACGATAGCTGCCAGCGTTGCCAGACTGTTAATGCTGCAAATGACTAGCAGATTTCTGTCTCGGTTATCGTTATCGAGCGCGTGAAAAACTCGTTTTTGTTGTTGTTGGCCAAAGTTTGGAGCAAGCTTCCGAGCTTTTTGGCAGCATGCAACAAAAGACTTTTCATTTAAACGCTCTCTGGCACTGCTGTCGTTGGCGTGTTTTGACTTGTGCGCGTCTTGCCAACTTGTTGTTGTTGTTGTCGTGGCGGAATTATTGCTGCTCTGTGTGTATATGTATAATAACAAAACGAAGTGATTATTCAAAATTACGTTTGAACATATGTTGAGGCATTGCCAAAATTAGCAGCAGAACTAGTTTCTTCAGGGCTTCTGCTCGTGTGCGTGTGTGTGTGTGTGTGTAAGCGTCTCATAGTGACGTCAGTCTTCCTTTAGCACAATCCTTTGCCTTTGGGCCAATCCGACTCATTGCAAACAGTTTTCGCCTGTGGCGCCAGCATGGTGCGTTGGAGTGCACGGTCGCGTCGGGCGCGCCAGGACCAGGTGGAGCTGCTCGCCAGCAATAATAAAATTGGCGACGATGACAACCCCGATAACGGTGAGCGATTAAAAGTAACGGTATCTTAGGCTGCAACTCGTTCAAAACAAATCACATCTAAGCTTCATTTTCAATCTAGAGTTTATAACATACAGATACATATGTAAATCACATTGAAGTTTCCTTTGCTCATTTTCCTTCTTTTAGCTGCCTATCGCAATTCCGCTGATCTCTCGGACACGGATGAAATCTTTCTTAAGGGCCTTTTGCTCAGTAACCCATCAACGCCCCATAAGGAACTTATGGTATGTAAATTACACAAACACCTTTTATATTTGTTTTTGGGTCGCCTGACCTAGATCCAGATTCATATGTAACCAAACCATCTGCTAATGCCGGCACGTTCAATAAGAAGAAAATAATGTACGGTATTTTTTTTTCCACATTATCGAACATTGCGCGCAGACAAGAAAAATCATTGTTTACACGACTGACACATATATATTTATGTATGGTACATACACTTAGCGAAAACTTCGTGCTGAATTCTAGTGTGAACTGGTGTAAATTTTATATTGGATTGTCTTTCATATTTCAAGGACATTTCGTTACTGATATGTATGAATTGTTTGGAAAATTTACCCTTATTTACAAAAACAGGGATAAGACTTGAATTAAAACCAAATGTCTATAACATTTCTCGGGATTTAGTTTTATATATAGGAAATTCGACCGCATTTTAAGAAAGTGTAAGTACATCATTCTTAAAGTTTTCTCCAAGTGTATACATATGCGTACACATATTTGTATATTTGGTTGGAAAAGCTTACTCTTTTCTTTATTGCATCGTTTCCCCGACTATTTCACGCCTGATTACCTACAGTGCGTGAAAGTAAAAGGGTCAGGGATGCAGAAGCTTTCACTTGAGCATAATAGTATAATAATGATGCTGGGATATAGAATGATGTACTAAAGCTGGGCAAGTACTTGTTTTTCCCTTTGTTCTCGTTGATTAAGTGCGAAATACTTGATGCCACTTGTGTTCGCTGCGAGATGAGACTTTTATGATAATTATTATGGCACAGCAATTAACACAATTTCCCTTTCGCTTGTTTTCGCATTAAACTTGACCTTATTGCTGGCGAAATGATATGTGAATAAAATTATGTAAATAGTCGAATAATAAGCCGTTGAAAAGACGTAATTTACATCCCATTTTAATGCGGCCAAGCTATTGATTTTCTTTACCCATCCAATTCGCAATTAAAATACCCATAAAAATGCAGAGCTAATTAAATCCGTAAAACAATATTTTCTTTCTCTATGGGCCTTTGTTTTTCTGGCAAATCTGTGTAAAAAAAAAGCACACACAAACTAAACACGCAAAAGCCAACAAACAGACGAAAAAAAATTAAAAGCGACGTCGCGTGTCGCGTGTCGCGAATAATTAGAATAAACATTTGGCATGAGGTACGAGGTGGTTATTACACTGACCCGTTGTTGAGAAAGGCAGTGAAAGTAATTACAAATTACAAGTCACGAGACTTGCTGATAAGCAAAAATCTAAAATAAATGTCACTCCGAAATTCCAGACGCCTATTAAAGCGACGCAGCACATAAAAAGCACAAACAAACGACGACAACAACTACGCCCTAAGAAACAGGCAGCGAAGCTTTACAAACTGGTTTTAAAATGGATTTTCAGAGTAAATGCGCATGCATGTGTTAATTATGAAAACTTTATGTTACCTGGCCACAAAAAAGCAGAAACAACAACAAAACCAACAAATGCACAAGAGCAGCGGCAGAGTGGTTGGCCTACTAATGCAACGGCTGCCCGACAGCAAAAGCTCAGCAGAGAGCGGCTTGGCTGAGCCGCTGTTAAGTGCGCGCTCTGTTAACTAACAGTGGAGCTATACAGAGGCGTACAGTTGTAACGTTAAGACCAATAAAACAGAACAAGTGCCCCTGCACTAATACTAATACGCGCTACTAAGAGCGCCAACTAAGCTCACACTTACATATGCTGGGCAGTTAGCCCTAGTGTGCGCGCTCTCACTCTCATAGCACGCACGCCCAACTGCTTAGCCGAACGGGGTTTCTGTGTGAGTCAGTTACTTGCGAGCTGTGC